TTAAGAGGTGGGTTTTTAGGAGTTGATTAGGTCATGAGGGCTCTGCTCTCATGGACAGGAGTCATAAAAGGGCTGGAGGAGGCTAGCTAGGCCCTTGGGCCCTTCCATTTTTCTGCTGTGTGAGAACACGGCAGTTATCCTCTTGGAGGATGCAGCAACAGGTTACATCTTAGAAGCAGAAAGAAACTCTTTTCAGACACCAAACCTGCTGGGGCCTTGAACTTAGACTTCCCAACCTCCATAACTGTGACCAAAAAAAAAAAATTATGTTGTTTATAAATTACCTTGTCTTAAGCATTTTTATAGCAGCGCAAATGGACTAAGACACTACACAAATTTTAAAGAAACATAGGGAGACAAATAAAGATTCTCATGATTGTTTCCCAAAGTCCTGTTCCTTCAACCCACTTCATAGGGTAATTAAGAAAATCAGATGAGATAATGAATATAAAATGGTCTGTCACATGATCAGTGCAACAAATATTAGGATATATCATTATCATTACTTTATCATAGGGTAGAATTATGAAATGATATATTTTTTGTATATGGAAGTTTTCACATACACAGATCTGCTAAAATATAATCATTGAAGTTAGGGGAATTAATTTTACCACATTTATGATCCATGAAAAATTGTGGGTATTGAATTTTTTAATATTTGATGTGTTCAGACAATTTGCTTAATTCAGAACAGCTGTCTGAGGCCATAAATCTCCCCCAAGAAGAGAACTGTGGAAACAGTATGCACCATGTGCACATTGTCACTGTAAACCACGGGTTGACCTTGATTCTTAAGTGCAGCCATCATTTCATTTTAACATGTCTGCCTAGCTTATGTCTTCATTTATTTACTTTCTTAGCAGGAGAGACAAACGTTTCTTGTGAAGTTAAGAGTTTGAAACTTTGTTCCTAAGTTTAATCTCTTGTTTTGCCAAATTGGGTTTGGCCATAACATATTCAGGCAAACAAAAACAAAACAGGAATCTGGGTCAAGTACTGAGCCCCCAGTGTGAGCCCAATGCAGGTGATAAATGGATTACTGAGTAGTCAAGGGCTTAATGAGAGGCATTAAATATAAGCAATTTAAAAAATAAATTGAAGTAGAAATCTGGGGCATTAAATTGTATCTGTCTGTACTTTATAGGATTACATTTGGACCATTTGGGGGGCAATGAAAAAATTTGGTATAACTTATGTAATAAGTAATTTCAAAATAGAAAAACAGACAGCATTTTAAAATGTAATAAAAGGAGAGATATGTTTTATGTAGACTTCCTCCATACTCTCATTTGGCAGCCTAGTATTTCTATATTAAAAAAAGTGTATGCATGATATCCAAATAACAGAAACCAAATATGGCAAGATGAGCATTTTTTGAGCTATCTTCTTACCTTCTCCCTAGAATCACACTTTTATGATGGATGCTCTTTGATTATATTCATTTTGAATTTGTACAACGTTGTGTACAGAATAGACAAAAGATTAAAACCGTATGTGTGTTGATGACCTGGTTCAAAGATGAATAGAGAAGTGATGTTTCTATATGTTTTATGTATTTCCTAAGACCAAAAATGGGACTTTCCAGCTGTTATTGTCTTGCAGAAGTATACATTCCCTATGGAGCAAATATGTTTCCTTTCTGTTCCCACTGAGATGATTTGCTGATTCTGATGAACCGCAGGTCCTGAGTCAGGCAGAGAATTATTCAGATGATTGCCCTAATTTCAGGCTGTTCCTAGCCTAGGAAAACTCGACTCTAAGTGATCTTCCTGCAAATTACTCTTGCCTCTGACTTATTCACCAGCTCAGTAGTCCCTAATCCATCGTTCTTTGTCATTACATAATCGAAGCATATTCTTCTCCATTACTGTCATACAATATCAATGTTGTAATCTGTTTGTAATTAGGACCACTCAAAAAAATCCATCTTTTCTTTATTTCCTTTCCCCATGAACTTTATAGAAGAATAAACATGCCAGTATTAATTCTCTCCCACAAACAGAAATCAACCCATACCCAATTCTCTGGTGTGATGTGTATTAGCTCGCCACTGAAGATAAAGTTATATTTACTTAAAATCATGTCACACTACACAAACTTTATCAGATCTCTAGTAAATTAAAATGCATGCCTGTTTAGGCATTATAGAAAAAGAAATCATTTTGAAAAATGTAATCCACTGACTCAAGAAAGTCATGGAATGAATGTACCATATGCTAGTAATGATGTGCTTCAAAGAATGATGAGCTTTATTGTGTTGAGCTTGCTTTAAAGTACCTTGACGTCATAGCCAATGTATTTACTGCTGGCCTTTGAACAAAGCCTAGTCCCAGTTTTCTGAATAATGATATAAAGGGAAGATGCTGGGTGCAATTTAGTGGATTTGGGGATTTTAGTGGTTTTTGTTTTTTAATTATGGTATGCTGCCTGGCTAATTTCATTTCTTCATTCCATTTGCTTTGGAGTAACATAACTTAGAAAATTTCATAAATAAAAGGTTATTTTAATAATTAATCCTGACATATCAACTTCAAGGCAAGTCAGTCCATTTATAAGAAACCTCTTTATGTTTTTAATTCAAATTAAATAAGCTCTTCATTGGGGGTTATTTCTTTGAAGATGCCTATTAAAAATAGTAGAATAGACCAGACATTATTTCCCTATAGCCATTTGCATTATTTTTACTCTTTGCTAGAACTGTGCATATAGTAGGAGCAGGATAAATGCCTGCTCCTGAGAATAAAGTACTAAACTTCCAACATGTTGTATTTTCTTTCTTAAAGAGTTTATATAGTCTGGAAGCTGGATATTTGTCCATACTTGAAATCACAATTTGAAACAACCCAAAGCAGAAGTAGTTAGCATAGGGTAACAAAGATCCATGACTACAAAATTAAATTTAGAGTAGGATACAAAAGATTGTGTACTGTCTGCCTTATATACTCCAAACTGTAATTAATTCTTCAGAAAAAAACAAAACAATAAAAAACAAAACTAAGTAGAAAACGGAAGGGTTTCCTAACCACAGGGCTTCAAGAAACTATGAAAAGAAAAAGGAAAAAGTAATTATATGAATGTTAACAATATCATTTTAAGCAAGTTATCTTTTTTAAAGTGGCATTCACTACAATTGTAACAATTGAATGAACATCAGATTTCCTGGTGAATGACACTGAACACAATTTTGCTTTTCTTCGAATATTTCATAAGTCAGTGTTCATAAGCCTGGTTTTGGAGGACAATGGAATACTACCTTATCTTAAGGCTCATAATTTGCTTTCTGTATTACTGAAACTCACAAAAGAAATTAGGAACATCTGAAAGAACAGGTGTCTGAAGTTTTCTGTATATCCTTCATGTGTTTATCATGCAAAAAAAAAGTATCCATTCCCTCAGTTTTTAGTGAGGCCCCACTGTGGTCCAAATAGTGTGTCTGGAACATGGTTTACCATGATGAGTGAGTTGGATATACCCTATTCCTACTGAGCATAAGGTTTTTTTTGTTTTGTTTTGTTTTATATATATTTTATTGCATTTTGGGTTTGGGGGTACATATGAAGAACATGCAGGATTGTTGCATAGGCATTGTGGTTTGCTGCCTTTCTCCCCATCACCTGTATCTGGCATTTCTCCCCATGTTATCCCTCCCCAACTCCCCATACCCCACTGTCCCTCCCCTAGTTCCTCTGCCACAGACCTCAGTGTGTGATGTTCCCCTCACTGTGTCCATGTGTTCTCATTGTTCAACACCCGCCTATGAGTAAGAACATGCAGTGTTTGATTTTCTGTTCTTGTGTCAGTTTGCTGAGAATGATGGTTTCCAGGTTCATCCATGTTCCTACAAAGGACACGAACTCATTGTTTTTTATGACTGCATAGTATTCCATGGTGTATATGTGCCACATTTTTCCTGTCCAGTCTTTCATTGATGGGCATTTGGGTTGGTTCCAAGTCTTTGCTATTGCAAACAGTGCTGCAATGAACATTTGTGTTTATGTGTCCTTCTAATAGAATGATTTATAATCTTTTGGATATATACCCAATAATGGGATTGCTGGGTCAAATGAAATTTCTATTTCTATGTCCTTGAGGAAGCGCCACACTGTCTTCCACAATGGTTGAACTAATTTACACTCCCACCAACAGTGTAAAAGTGTTCCTATTTCTCCACATCCTATCCAAGATCTGTTGTCTCCAGATTTTTTAATGATTGCCATTCTAAGTGACATGAGATGGTATCTCAGTGTAGTTTTGATTTGCATTTCTCTAATGACCAGTGATGATTAGCATTTTTTATATGTTTGTTGGCCTCATGTATGTCTTTTGTAAAGTGTCTGTTCATATCCTTCACCCGCTTTTGAATGGGCTTGTTTGTTTTCTTGTAAATCTGTTTTTGTTCTTTGTAGACTCTGGATATTAGCCCTTTGTCAGATGGGTAGATTGCAAAAATTTTTTCCCATTCAGTTGGTTGCCAATTCACTCTAATGATTGTTTCTTTTGCTGTGCAGAAGCTCTGGAGTTTAATTAGGTCCCATTTGTCTATTTTGGCTTTTGTTGACAGTGCTTTTGGTGTTTTAGTCATGAAATCCTTGCCTATGCCTATGTCCTGAATGGTTTTGCCTAGATTTTCTTCTAGGGTTTTTATGATGTTAGGTCTTATGTTTAAGTTTTTAATCCATCTGGAGTTAATTTTAGTGTAAGGTGTCAGGAAGGGGTCCAGTTTCTCCTTTCTGCACACTGTTAGCCAGTTTTCCCAACACCATTTATTAAACAGGGAATCCTTTTCCCATTGCTTGTTTTTGTCACGTTTGTCAAAGATTAGATGGTTGTAGATGTGTGGCATTGTCTCCAAGGCCTCTGTTCTGTTCCATTGGTCTATATCTCTGTTTTAGTACCAGTACCATGCTGTTTTGATTACAGTAGGCTTGTAGTATAGTTTGAAGTACAGTAGTGTGATGCCTCCAGCTTTGTTCTTTTTGTTTAGAATTGACTTGGTTAAAAATATGGAATGCTTCACGAATTTTTGTGTCGTTCTTGAGCAGGGACCATGCTAATCTTTTCTGTATTGTTCCAATTTTAGTATATGTGCTGCTGAAGTGAGCACAAGTGTAAGTTTTAGTAGCACAAGAGAGACTCAAAATGAGTAAGCAAAGGCATAAAACTATTGCTGGTTGCATTATATTTGAGGAAGGAAATAAACAGGTTGGGAAAGAATAAAAGGCTGGGCTCTACTTATATTTAGTGCTTAAGGAAGCCCCTCTAAGTTATGGCAGTTGATTTTTATTATTTATTTATTTATTTAATGAGACAGGGACTCACTCTGTGGCCCACTCTGGAGTACAGTGGTGCAACTGTGGCTCACTGCAGCCTTGACCTCCTGGGCTCAAGCAACCCTTTCACCTAAGTCTCCTGAGTAGCTGGGATCACAGGCACAATCAATACCACTTATGCCTGGGTACTGTTTTTTTTTTTTTTTTTTTTTTTAACTTTTGGTAGAGACAGGACCTTGCTATGTTGCCTAGACTGGTCTCAAACTCCAGAGCTCAAGCATTCCTCTTATCTTGGCCTCCCAAAGTGCTGGCATTGCAGGTGTGAGCCACCACACCTGACCAGTTATAGCGATTAAGGTGAGACTTGAAACATGAGAAGCTGGTTGCTGAGGAATGGTCCAGGTGGAGGGATGTATTAGTCCATTTTCATGCTGCTGATAAAGACATACCTGAGACTGGGCAATTTACAAAAGAAAGAGGTTTTATTGGACTTACAGTTCCATGTGGCTGGGGAAGCCTCACAATCATGGCAGAAGGCAAGGAGGAGCAAGTCACATCTTACATGGATGGCAACAGGCAAAAAGAGAATGAGAAAAATGAAAAAGTGGAAACCCTTGATAAAACCATCAGATCTCATGAGACTTATTCACTACCATGAGAACAGTATGGGGAAAACCACAGCCATCATTCCCACTAGGTCCCTCCCACAGCAGGTAGGAATGATGAGAGTACAATTTAATGAGATTTGGTGGGGACACAGAACCAAACCATATCAAGAGAACACCAAGTAAGATGTTCCTGAGGCAGCCAAGAGCTTGTGGTGTTCTGAGAATCAGTAGAAGACCACATGGCTGAAGAGTGAAGAGTGAGGGTCAGACAGGCAGCACAAATGAAAGTTGAAAAAGCTGTCTCAGGGCCTAGTCATACAGGGCCTTGCAAGCAAGGCAAAGAGCTTGATGTGACTATCTTATTTTAAGAGCACTAGGAAGGCACAGGGACAATCCCCAGGTTTCACTTGCAAAGGAGAAAAATCAGCTTTCCCTTTCCAGGGTTACAAATAATGTGACATTCTTTTTTGTTGAATGTAAATGCCTGGAAATGTCGAGATAACCAACACACTGATAACTTCAGAAGAAATATTGAAAAATTCAGAGGAAATATCACAGATACTAATGTGTTATATGACAGGAAACAAAAGTACTGTGCATTATAATGAGCAGGCATTGAGGCTAGATCCTTCTACTATTTTTTTGTTGCTGTTGTTGTTGTTGTTTGGCAAATTACTTAATATCTTTGTGTTAAAATTTCCTTTTCTGTAATATTGCAATAATAACATGAAACTCACCAAACTATTTTAAAAATCCTATAATACTATATATGGAATTGTAACATGAAGATTGAGAACTAACAGAGAAACAAACTTTATTAAAATATCTTAATATGTTTACCTGGCTTCCAAGTATGAATATTTTATTATGTTAACATATAAAGGAAGCTTTTGTATAAATGACCAGCATGGATTTTTTCCACCTTTTTCTATCAAAAGATGTTCAGCCTTAATGCCTTCCATTATGAAATAAAGCACCCATTGAAACCCAAGTGATAGTAATTAGCATCATTTTTTTGTATTGTGAAAAGGTTTTGATAGATTCTCTATAAGAATATCATAATATATCTATATAGATAAAATATATTGGAATATATAAAAGTGCATTTCTTTTCATTTAACTTATTAAGTTTCTAAACCTCATCTGACGGCCAATATGTCTAAATCTCACCTGACTTTCAATTTTTGGCATTTTTCTATTATAAGAAATAAAAATTAAAATAAAAAGCACTCTCTGAAAGCTACAGATTATGATCATCTGAATAAAAAGGTATCTATGTGTATGTCTATTTGTGTGTGTGTGTTAGTGTGTGACTGATCCAGGCACAGCAGAGTGGACAAATTCAAATGAAAGAGGTCTTAAGGGGAACATAATTCTATGTTGGACCACGTCTTTATGAATATAATCCTATCAGCTAATTATAGTGGGTGCTGAAACACATTACTGAAATCTATTATGTGAAATAAAACTTAGTATTGAAGCATAATTTCCACATACTGTGGAGAGTTAATTATTAAATATATTATCCATTGCACAAAAACAGTGTGGATAATGATGTTTTGGCTAGGTCCAAGGGTGACTGACAGAAAACAATGTCAATGTCATCATCAACAGTGTGCCTATTTCACACTGATAAAATTATTAGATTAACTTCTGTGGCATATCTTTTTAAAAAATACAGAAAGTAATACAATATCATTGTGTAAAATTGAAACACACACACACACACACACACACACACACACACACACACACACACAGAAAATTAGGCTGGTCCCAAGCTCCTGGCCTGATGTGCCTGCCTCAGCCTCCTAAAGTGCTAGGATTATAGGCATGAGCCACCATACCAGTCAGTTTGGGAGTAATTTTTTCAGACATTGTATAATTATTGCCCCTAGATTTTAATTTATAAAATGGAATGACATAGCATGTAATTTTCTGTCCTACTTTCTTCATATTGTATTTGGAAAATTTTCCCACACAATATCATACTCTTTTAATTATAATTTTATTTGGTACTTAAGTTCCTCAGAAATTTTGTTAGAATTTTATGAAATTTATTGAGTTATTTGCATAAAACTAACATCTTCATAAGGTACCTATTCCTCTGAAGGCAGATAATATTTTTCTTCATCTATTTAAATCTTCTTTTTTAATCTCAATTGCAACCTGTTTGTTTCTCACAGGCCATGCACATTGCTTGTTCAGTTCATTGCTAGGGGTTTTCCCTTGCTCCATAGATAAGAACTCTTACTCTATTCTAATTTCAAACTGGTCGTTGCTGAAATATAGGAAAAGCTATTGATTTGTCTATTTATTTTATAAGCAACTAACTTATTAAATTTACTAGTTGACTTTCCTGGTGGAAAAATGTATAACAGGCAAACAATGAATTGTTTTACTTTTTGGCTATTTTTATCTAATATACATTTCTTGACTTATTAAATTAGCAACAGTACCTTGATTAATGTTAAGTTACAGTTATGACAGCATGTATCTTTGGGATTAATGATAATCTTGTTAATGTCTCATTGTCAGTTATGATATTGACTGCTATTCCTGTACAACTATTTTTATCTCATTAAATTTCTTTCTCTACTTAATTTATACTAATTTCTACATTTAATTCAAGAAGACTTTTTATGTTTTATCAAAAGATCACCATTCTCTGGATCTTCATGTTATCTGTGATATAATAATGTTATGAACAAAAAGAGCTAAAATATATCAAAAGTTGCCATTTGCCAGGTACTGAGCTAATCATTGCATAAAATATCTCATTTAATCCTTACAAGAACTCAATTAGGTAAGTACTATTATAATGCCCAAATTATAGTGGTTGTATACACATTATAGACCTAAATTTCTAATAATGAAGCATCCCTGCATTTTGGGAATAAACCCTACTTCGTAGGTAATTATTTGTTTATTATACTGCTGGAATATATTTACTAGTGTATTACCTGTAGTTTTTGCATCTATGGCAGTACAGCACAATTGTTGACCACATTTAATTCCAATCATGCCCCTCTGAGGGAAATAGATAATACTCAATTTCCAAGAAAGGCAACAGGGACAAAATGAGGGCATAAAAGTTTCTCTGTGCACAGTGAACTATAACGTAACTGGATATGTAAACAGACTATAATCTACACTTGCGCCAGTCACTGAGTTTTGACCAATTATAGGTGGCCAACTATTCAAACTGGGTTCAAATAAGTCAAACGCTAAGCTACAACCAATCCAGCTGTTTCTGTGCCTCACTTCTGTTTTCTGTATGTCACTTCCCTTTTTCTGTCCATAAATCTTCCATCATGCAGCTGTGCTGGAGTCTCTTTGAATCTGCTGGGATACTGGGGGCTGCCCAATTTGCAAGTCACTCTTTGCTCAGTTAAACTCTATTAAATGTAATTTGTTGAAGATTTTTCTTTTAACAAAAAGCAAATAATTTTTCTGAAGTTGAATGACCAGTAAGTGGTGAAGCTGAGATTCGAACTCAGGCAGTGGAAAGAAAAGGGGGAAAGAAGGAAGGAAAAAAGTAGGGAGGGAGAGAGGATGAAAGGTAGGAAAAGAAAGAAGAAAATGAAAAGAAAGAAAGAAAGAGAAAAAAGAAAGAAAGAGAAAGAGAAGGAAGTTAGGAAGGAAGAGAGAAAGAAAGAAGGAAGAAAGAAAGAAAGAAAAGAGCTAAGAGAGAGAGAAAGATAGAAAAGAAAGAAAAGGCAGACTGGAATAAACAGGGTGGTCACAGAAGAATAAAGAATTCCAGACAGCAATTTTACATGACTAGACATTATAGTCTAATGATGTTAACAGCAGCAAATCCATACGAGTTTGCAGCAACTCAATTCTTGCCTCTGAGGGCATAAGGCAGAGTGAGAGACTGAGGCAAGTTTTAGAGCAGAGTGAAAGTTTGTCAAAGTTTTAGAGGAGGAATGAAAGGCAGTAAATTTCACTTGGAAGAGAGCCAAGTGGGTGATTTGAGAGATCCAAGGGTCCAGGTTGACCTTTGACTTGGGGTTTTATATATTGGCATGCTTTTAGGGTTTTGTGTCTCTCATCCCTTGATTTTTCCTTGAGGTGAGTTGTTTACATGTGCAGCCTGACAGCCCTTAGGAGGAATCGCATGTGCAAGATGTTTACTGAAGTCATGCACATGCTCACAGGAGGTGTTTTTTCCTTATTAGCCAAGAGTTCCTAGAGAAAGTTTATATACCAGTTAAACTCTG